GTGTCTCCCTTGGGGCCAACTAGAGGTGGACCCAGACATTCACAGGTCCAGAGCTCAAGGTGCAACCAGGGGACTGGAGCCTACAGGGTAGTTCAGACTAGAATAAGTCGGGGCCCTAACCACCTGTGCCCGAAAGAGGGGATACAACCAGGGAGAAAGAACACATCTGACACTAGTCCAGGGCTACGGCTTTATTGAGAAGCAGCGACCACATGGCTCTTCTGGATTTCTTACCCCTGGAAGTGGTAGAGAGACCCAGTGGCCCCTACTGAACACGGTCAGCTGGCTGGCAACCGGGTGTGGTGACAACTGACAATGCTTCCTCTTATTGCTCATGAGTGAGGGAAGCAGCTCTTTCAAGACTAACTATGATCAGGCCAGCGAGGTCTAAGGAAAGGTGGCTGAGGGGATGAGAAACAAGGAGACAGAGGTGCCAGGACCAAGAGAGATGGGCAGAAATGGGCAGGAGGTTGGACTGGGAGGGTCTACCCTGCAGTGCGGGGAAAGAAGTTTACCCGTTGACTCTGGCCTGGCATCCCCCGACCAGCCTCAAAAGTAGTCTTTATAGGAACCATGAGAGACGATGGACTCTGAAAAACAAACTGAGGGTTCTAGACGGGAGGGGGGTGGAGGGATGGCTTAGCCTGGTGATGGGTGTTAAAGAGGGCACGTTCTGCGTGGAGCACCGGGTGTTATGCACAAACAATGACTCATGGAACACTACATCCAGAACTAATGATGTAATGTATGGTGATTAACATAAGAATAAAAAAATTTAAAGATGAGAAAAAGAAGTAGTCTTTATATTATCTCTAAATTGAATTCTCTACACAATCACAGGGCTGCACTGACATAAATGTTCGTCCTACTATTTATATATGTGTGTTTTATTCCTGCCAAAGCACAAGTAAATTAATATTTTATTTCAGGAATCATTTTTATAGCCCAATTTATTATGTCTTATGACCATCTGCATATAAAAATTTGACTCATGAAGTTTACACATTTTAAATACATCATAATTTTTTTGTCCCTGTAGTGCTCGTACTGTTCCTCTCAGCACTTCCAAGAGCCCTGGGTACACAGCCCAATTGCCTCTCCCAGTTTCCTAGAGATAACCTTGTGCCCCTGGGGACGCATCAGGGATTGGGGCACGTGAGGCTCCAGGTGCAGGCAGGCAATAGGACTCAGCATCCTCCAGACTGGCGTGGGGGCACAGCCAACATTTATCTCTTCCCACTCTAAAATATCCCAGAAATTTTGTAACCCTACTTTGGCATCTCTCTTTTCTTCAATGCTGAGAGCTTCACGAAACCAAAGTGTCCCAGGCCTCTCTGAACCTCAGAGACACCCTAAAGCCAAAGAGGAATAAAGCAGATACTTCTGATTCCAGCCCAAGGAAAGGCAATAACATTTGCCTTTAACTTGGTCTTTGCTTCATTCATCTCCCTTTAAAAGACGGACCCAATTCACTGTGTGGATGGGCCCCATGCTCTTCCATGCTCAGCATGCTGACATCCTAGGCTTTTACTCTGCGTTTCTCTGTAGCAGCCCTTGAAACACCTACATTCCATCAACTCTGGGAGATATCACGTGAGGTCACGTTGCAGGTGAGAGGAACTGGTGAGATTTTGCATCTTCCTGTTGAGTCCTCACATGGATCTTCCTGAATTAGGTCCTCATGTGCAGGCTTGAGGGTTGAAGAAGTAAACTGCCACAGGGTCAAATACACACCTGTATTAGTCAAGGTTCCCTGGAGAAACCGAACCAATAAGAAAATATGTATATGAAGAGTTTATTATAAAGAATATGCTCCCATGGTGGTGGGAGCTGAGGAGTACCCAAGAAAGTTGGTGGTAGAATTCATTCCAAGTTCAAGGGTCTGAGATCCAAGAGTGCAGAGGGTGGGAAAAGGTGGACGTCCCAGCCGAAGCCATCAGGCAGCAAGGGGACAATTCCTCCTTCCTCTGCTGGTCAACCAATTCTACTCAGACCCTCAAAAGATGCGGTGAGGCCCACCCACGTGAGGGAGAGCAACATCCTCCCAGACACACCCAGAGATAATCTTCCATCTGAGCAGCCTATGGCCAGTTAACCCATAACATTAACCACCACGGCCCGGACTCAAACCTAAAGTCAAGTTGCTGTTGTAATTGCCCTGTTCACCTGGTGGATCTTTCAACTTCTCAGCTCAGCCAGGAGCTGCAGAAACTGAAGAGTTTTCAGAAGAGGGAAAGTGAGAGAGAGAAGGAAGAGATGGTGGTGGGCTGAGAAGCCGGAGGAAACAGTGAGTCCCTGTCAAGTTTCTCATTTTGGGTTACAATGCCACCAGCTGCCTAACAAACCCTCTTATTGGGCTTCCCTGGGTCTGAAGATAGTGCTTCTCCCTCTTGCTGGCTCTTGGCCACTCTCTGCCTGCCATTGTCGTGGTCTGAGAGAAAGGCACTTGAAGAGTGGTGCCAGAGGAATCTGGGTTCGAATCCTCCCATCATCACTTGCAATAGACTTCTGGTCAGTTTGTTGACTGAGCTGTTGGCAAGGTAGCTCGGGGGATGGGGAGATTACATAAACTCTTTGCTATGGGAGAAAAGACCAATAAGGAGCAAACCTCCCCACAAAAATTAAGCAAAGTTTCAGAGGTATGCTTTCATTTTTTGGTTTTTGCTTTTTAAATTCTTTTTTATTAGAGTGGAACAATGAGAACAGGAAATTGCACATGTCCTAAATACACAGCTCACTGACGTTGTAGAAAGTGATATCCTTTCATGGCCACCACTCAGATCAGATATCCACATCCTTTGGCAGGGGTCCTCCACATTGTATCAGGTGGGTGTGTGGTCCACAGATATGGCAGAAGCAATGGTATACGACTTCCAAGGAGAAATCATAAATATGTTATGCCTTGCTCTTTCTAGGATCACACACTCTGGGAGAAACTCGTTGCCATATCATGAAGACACTAAAGTAGTTCTACTGGGCGAGGAGCTAAGGACTCCTGCTAACAACCATGTGAGCGTGTCATCTCTGAAGCAGATCCTCCAGGCCAGCCCAGCCATCCAATGAGCATAGCCTGGTCAATATCTTGACCACAACTTTGTGAAAGAGACATCCTGAGCCACAACCACCCAGATAAGCCACTCTCAGATTTGTGACTCTCAGGAAGTGTGAGATAATTAATGTTGTTTACTGCCGCTGGGTTTTGGAGGAATGTGAAATGCCGCGATAGATATCAAATCTAGTTGGACCACACTTGTCTAGGGCCAATGTCTGCAGCCAATTCAGTCGTTATTCATTCACTCAATCACTCATTCGCTCTTGAAGTAAACATTTATCATAAGCCGACCATTTGTCCCATACTGTAGATGGCCACCAGGTCATTCAGTGATGAAAAACAGGCCCAGATTGCTGCTATGATATGAGCTCTATCCTAGTAGGGAGATGCATAGAAACCACCAAAAGAAACACACTAACAAGGTTTGGTGAGCTACGGAGGAAACAAATGGGGGTTGGTGATTGAGACAACAGGGTGACCCCTAGGAAGGGTGATCAGGGATGACTTTCTGAGGGAGTGGCATCCAAGGTGAACTCTAAAGAGCAAGAAGGAATAAGCAGTGAGAAGAGGTGGACAAAGGATCCAAGGGGAGGGGCAAGCGGCTTATGATAAATGTTTACTTCAAGAGCGAATGAGTGATTGAGTGAATGAATAAAGACTGAATTGGCTGCAGACATTGGCCCTGGGGAAGGATGGGCACTGTGGCTGGAGCACGGGGCACATTGAGGTGGGGGAGCAAGATAGAAATGCAGACCCGTGATTGGCTGGTCCCACTCAGGCCATGTAAGCCAAGCAAGGAGAGTGGGTTTCACCTGAAGAGCAGGGGACAAAAGGGTGTACTGGCTACTCCTGATTTTGTTGAAGTGCTCTCTTGCTGAAGAGTGGAACAGAGGGAAGACAAGGCCTGAGGGGACTGGCAAGACGAGGGATGTCACCCTTGCACTAAGAGGAGAGAGGAGGGTTGTAACATCAGGAGGAAGAGGAGGTATGGGCAGATGCACAGTACCAGAGGAAGCATTAGTGGGGAATGACAGAGACAGGAATCCCGGGTGACAGGGTCTAGTTGCAATAACTCTGGGAATATTGTCCCCTTTGATCTGGATAAGATCGTGTGGAGGAGGAACAGATCTGGGGAGAGAGTGTTTAGGGGAAAATTGATAGACCTGGTTGTGCGTGACAAAGTTGAGGACCTGGCTTTACCCAGGCAAGATGTCAGGCCCTGCACCTTAGCCTGCCTCCCTACCATTTCCAGCATAAACTCACCCCAAACCCATCATGTCATGAGAACACGCCACTCTGAGTTAGGACAACCTCCCCACCTCCTGGCAAGGACCATCCCCCAACTCTGAACCTTGAAGTGGTCCCCGGTCACCACTGTGAACCCAAAAGGGCCACCAGCAGCTAGTGTTCTGGCAGACCACCCTCTTGTTACACAACGGTCCCTCGTGCCACTGGATGGAGAGGAGCAGCCCAGTCTCAGCTTCACATTTCCCCATCGTCCCATCAGCTCCTTCAACCTCTGGACCCTCTTGTCCATTGCCAGTACTCTGCCCTGTGAGTCACAGTAGAGTGGACTTTCCAAAGAAGGGTCAAATGTGAGGTGCTCACGGGGTTCGTGACGGCTGCTCCATGTCCATGTCTTGAGAACAGAGAAACACACAGGAGGGAAGCGCAGCCTGGGGGATTTGTACCCTGGTTAGGAACCCAGAACCCTAATGGGACCTTTGAAGGTATCTGAGGTCACAGTGCCAACTTGTGTGGCCAGAGGAGAGCAGGGGTCCCATGGGGACTGTGGGTGCTTGGAGCTGCAGCCTAGGGGTTCCTAACACCCCTGCAGGCACCACCGATGCCTGAGAAGATGGGCTACTGGGGCTCCACCCCGGACATGGTCCATCCTGACCACAAGGAAGTGACATGTCATGGCGGTGAGGAAGCTCCACTGAGGAGGAAATGTTCCAGGGCGGCTCCATTGTGTGGGGCGAGTGTGGACAGAGAGAGGAGCAGATGTTGTCTGCTTAAGAGGATGGCAATCCCAATCCAGTCCTTGACCAGGAGCTGTCCTGTCATCAGGATTGAGAGGAGCCCGGGGCACCCGGCCCAGGACTCTGTCTCAGCCTGTGGTGCTTCCCTCCCCTAGCTTCTGGCACCTCGACCAGCTTGAGTCAACGTGGAAGAAGATTGTGAGACCAACACAGGTTGACGAGAAAGCAAAGAGGCCTCAAAAAGCAGAAGTGGGTCGTGGAGATTGGACCGTCTGGGAGGTGGCTTGAAATCAGGGGCCTGGCATTGCTGTGGGTGACCTCTGTGCTGTAGACATGACCCCGAGGGATGGGAGGCCTTGGCTGCCTGTAGCTCTGCTCCTTCTGCAGGTCCCAGGTGAGCAGGGCTGAGCCTGGGCAGGGAAGTGTGCCCTGAGTGGGAAGGAAGGAGACAGGGGAGACAGGGGTGGGACACAGGAGTCTTTCTTCTTTGGAAAGTCCACTCTACTGTGACTCTCAGGGCAGAGTACTGACAATGGACAAGTGACATGTCACTTCCTTGTGGTCAGGGTGTGTGTGTGGGGCGGCCCATGGGGAGGGAAGGAGGACCTGGGTGGGAGGAGGGAGAGCAGAGTACATTCCAGGATTGGCCAGCACTGCCCCAGCAGTGACCAGGAGCATTTAGAGCATGAAGCGGGTGAGTTCAATCCACTATAGTGGACAGAGCAACTCTGAGGAGAGGGGCGCCTGTGACCACCATTACTGTAGGGTCACAGTCAGAAAGGAGATCTTGGTGCATGACAGACACACACACACACACACACACACACACACACACACACATTGAGCACCCTCTCCTTGTGCCACTTTGTGGGTAGGGAGCTACCTCTTCCCCCTCTAGTCTCAGGAAACGTCTGTCTCCTGCCAAGGCCTCCTCCAGTCCCTGAGATCCTTTTGGGGAATCCGGGACCACCATGACCCCAGATTCCCTTGACCCAGGCTCATCTGGTGAGGGACCACACTCGGTTGTGTTTTCCAGGCTGTTGGTGTCTGAGTGGCCCCACCTCCGTGACGGGCACCGTGGGCGGATCTCTGAGCGTGCAGTGTCAGTACGAGGAGAAATTCAGAGAGATGGCCAAATACTGGTGCAAAAGCCCATGTGTGTGGAGTACTGTAAAGACCAAAGAGGCAGACATAGAAGAGAGTAACGGCCGTGTGTCCATCAGGGACCATCCCGCCAACCTCACCTTTACAGTGACCTTGGAGAACCTCACAGAAGGTGATGCAGGAACATACTGGTGTGGAATCGTTACATCATGGCTCCCAGGATATTTCCTCGACCCCACCTTCCTCGTTGTGGTGTCTGTGACCCCAGGTGAGCTGTGAAACCCCCTCCCCCAGCGCCAGCACTAGGGCTGCCTGAGACTAGAGCCGATTACCGTGGGTTGTGGGATAGAAGAGTGGAGTGAAGATGGGGTGGGTGACACAGGGGATGTGCATGTATGTGTCCGTGTGTGTGTGTGTGTGTGTGTGTGCACGTGCATGTTTTGTGTCTGTGCATATGTCTGTGTGTCTATGTGTGTGTGTATTTGTGTGTGCAAGCATTGTGTTGTCTGCACACTCACACAAGCCCATGCACACCTCTGGCTGACCTAGGCGCTTCCATGTGCCCCACCCTGACACACTCTCACGCATAAAGCTCTACCAGGGTGGACAGTGGGGATGGGCCTGAGTCTGGGGTCAGCTGCCTTCCTGTCCTGACAAGGGTCCTATCCATGCTGAAGGGGACCCAAATCTCTTCCTGGACTGCTCTCTGTCCTCCCAATGGGGAACGGAACTCCTAGGGCATTCGCTCTTCTCCCTTCCTGGCTGCCCATGACCCGGGCTCTAACAGGACATCAGTGTGGCATGGATGGTTCCTGAGGCACCAGCCTCAACGCTGTGATCCTGGGGGTCTGCGGCAGCCTGGACTGGGCCCCAGGAAGGAGCCCCAGACCCTGATGTGGGGCTTCTGTGAGCATTTGCGGACCTCCCTCCCCCCTCCAGCTTGACCCTTCCCCTCGGGCCCCTTGTCCCCACAGGAGGGAGCTCAGAGAAACCCCTGAAATCTCCCCTCAGACAAAGGAGAAGAAGGATGAGAAAAATGAGTTCTCAGGTCTTATGGCCCCAAATATACTTCCTTGTGCTGCAAAGAATTCTTTACTAGAGCCCTGTTTTTGTTTCCTAAAAACCACATGGAGATCATCCATCTAAGTGGGTAGATTTTTATCCTGTGTTCTTATTCTGATGGTGTCCCTGGTCCCTCCGAGGTCCTTCTTGTAGGTCTTCGTTTCGCTCACACGGGACATTTCCCTCCCAGGCCCTTTGTGGGATCCTATTTAACAGTGAGGGGCTGAGCATCCTCAGACACCACCAGCGGGGTGAGGGAAAGCCAGTTGTCCAGTTGGCTTCAGGACAGGCCACATTCTATGGGGTCCCCCGGATGTGTGTCTGTCTCTCTAGATCTTTCTTTCTGTCTATCTTTCTGTCCTGTGGCACCCCAGGTTCACGGGTCTGGCTGACAGTTTGGGGCCTGAGTGCATTGAGTGCCAGGGTCCCACCATTCAGTGTAGACTCCGCTGAGTGCCCTGTTGCATGATTCTCACTCCAGACATCAGCCC